TAAGAATATATAAGAATTGCAGAAATTTGAATAAGTCAAGATCTTGAACATTTTGTAATTTCTTCACTTCGTGTGTACTAAGATCTTAGAAATTCTTGAATCATTGTTTTGTTTTACACTCTTGTGTGCGAATATTTTCACACTTAGAATAACTTCGACTTTTTTGTGACCATAAAAACATTTTCCAGTTTTTATAAAGCTGTTAATTATTTTAAAGTAAATAAAAAATCTAGTTGTTTAAGGAAGAATCTATGACTCAATATCGTCGTGTATCCGATAGCTATGACTGTCATAAATAAAAACTTAGTGTAAAGAAAATTTTTCACTCAAGCTCTTATAATATCTTGAGTGGATTCACTCAAGCTCTTATAATATCTTGAGTGGAAGATTCAAGAATCCAAGATCTTGGCCTCTTGGTGTGTGATCTTNAAGGATAGGCAACAAGAACTGCGGTTCGGAAGCGAGAAGAAAATTGCAAAAGCGAAATAAAAGTATTGTACCTCTGTTACCTCTGTTATTCTAGCGTCCGCTCAAAGCAGAAAACATTTTATTTTATAAAGAATTTGCTGTCATTTATTCTCTACTAAAAGCTGGGGAAATAAAACTCTGTCTGTTATTTTGTACTACCTATAGAAAGTTAATTTTTCCGATTTTCCAGCTCATATGATAATTTGCTAAAATTTTTCTGAATATCCAGTCTATGGAAAAAACGGTTTTCATATGTAGTAACAAAGGTGTATTTTCTATGCTCTGCTGCGATGTAATGGTGATTCGTTTTCAAATATCATCTTCCCCGATTTTAAAATTCAAAATTTGTTTGAAACTCAAAAAATCCAAAGTTCAAACACGGCAGTAATAAAAATGCTGCTTTTCATCGTTGTCTTATTTTTTGAGTGGTGGGGATGTCTCTTAACGAGATTTTACTATTTTGAAGTCACATCTTTTGGTATTTCAAATATTTTAAACAGAAATGTGGTCTAAACTTATGTCGTACACTTAAGATGTAATATGCTTACCAAATTTGTTTAATTACGAAAGTTACGTTTCGCTAAAGAATTTATTACCAGCAGACTCAAAGGATGATCATACGAATGTGATTATATTCTTATCCGCCAAACATCAAAATAATGAGTTGAGCATGCGTGACTAAATCAATGATTTTGATACATGATTGTCTGTTTGTACAAAGATATGCTTTTATCGAAAATTTTTTTGTGTAGATTCACCTGTATACAACTGATAGATTACGTTTTATACCAGGAGATGATGTACTTGATGAAGTTGCAGACGAAGATGTTAATGATGATGTGGTTGTTGGTTTTGTATTTGCTTGTGAGACATGATCGATTTTAAATTTCTTAATCATATCCAGCAATATTTTTTCTTTCGTTGTTGAACTTTGAATTAAATAACGATTAATATCGATTTTCAATTGTGATGGATCAAGAAGAAAAGCACATGTAT